CTCCTCCTCTCCTCTTCCTTCCTTTTCTCTTCCCCATTCTTGATTTTCAAGTCCACACTCCTCCTCCTCTCCTCTTCCTTCCTTTTCTCTTCCCCGTTCTTGATTTTCAGGTCCACACTCCTCCGTCTCTCCTCTTCCTTCCTTTTCTCTTTCCCGCTGTCGCTTTTGAGGTCCACACTCTTCCTTCTCTCCTCTTCATTCCCTTTCTCTTTCCCCTTCTTGCCTTTCAAGTCCACACTCTTCCTTCTCTCCTCTTCATTCCCTTTCTCTTTCCCCTTGTTTTTTACTTCCGCATCTTTCCTTTTTTCCTTCTCTATCTTTACCGATTCCCTACTGCTCGAAGAAAACTTATCCCTGTCCTTCTTTGCCTTCCCCCTCTCCATCCTCACCGCCGCTAATTCTTCTCTCCCCCGCGCGCGCCAGCGCGCCGGAGCCCCGGCCCTGGATCCTGGCAGGTGTGGCCCTGGTGTGGGGCTCAAGGTGGAGACGTAGGTCCAGAAGGCGTGGGCCACACCCGCGGTCACAGGGTCGCAGGCCGCGCCAGTGAGCGCAGCTGGCTTTTGCTTTAGCTGTCTAGAGCTGGCAGCTGATTCGTCCAACTTGAGATGAAGGAGCGACAGGTCGAAGAGGGGAGGGCCAGGATGCTAGAGGGTGGATCGAGCCAGTCTAGAGGAACCTGGTGATCCTCAACAGAGAACTGGGAGAAGCAGGCAAGGTGGATGGGCTGCTTTTGTTGGAGTCCATAGGCACCCCTCGCTCCAGAGGGCACAAAGGCACGCTTTGGCAGTGTTGGGGAAATGCCTCCTGAGAGTCTCAGCTTCAACTCCCAATTTGCTCTGCCAGGCCATGCCTCTAACTTAAGAATACCTAAGGCGCTGAGCTCCCGGAGTCCAGTCGAAGAGAGAGAAGAGGGATTCTATGAGCAAGGGGCATCAAGATCACGATTGGGAAACAGAGAGACAACCAAACCAAACTAGTGGGAGGAAACCCATGAACTGTGGACCAATAGCTGAGAGCCTCCACGGGACTGGACTAGGCTCTCTGCATAGGCTTGATAGTTGTTTAGCTTGACTTAAGGGCCCCCAGGCAGTGTGTTCAGGATCTGTCCCTGGTGCACGAGCTGGCTTTTTGGAGCCCAGTACCTATAGCGGGACACCTTGCAAGGCTTGGTGCAGGGGGGAGGGGCTTGGACCTGCCTCAAGTGAATGTACCAGGCTCTGCTGACTTCCCGTGGGAGACCTTGCCTTGGAGGAGGTGGGAATGGGGGTGGGTTGAGGAGGAAGGCTGAGGGGAGGGGCGAAAGGAGGGAGGAGAGGGGCATCTGTGATTGGTACGTAAAATGAACAGAAAATTTCTTAAAGATTCCCCACCTTGCAACCACTACCCCAGAATGTAGGTTACACATTTGCCTACCCCCATCCCATGTGAATTCCACTAGGAACAACAAAAACGGTTGTTCTTCAGGATTGTCAGCTAAGGACAGAGATTGCAGGTCCTGACAGGACAGATATCAAAACAGAAATGAGGCAAGGTCTAATGCCCCTCCACCACCAGTGTATAGCAACTTAAACACCCAAAGTGAGGTGGTATGTTTAAACTAGCTGAGGAACTTGTGGTTCTCTTCATTTCTAGCTGGACTTGGTTGGTTTTTAGGGATGGGGTAGGTGATGATAAGAGTGCTGAGTAAGGGCCCTGGGTTCCTGCTCAGTAAAGATGATGTGTAACATCAGGACACGGGCGCCTCATGCCTGTATTCTAGAGCTGGCAAGGCTGAGTGAGGACTGCTTGAGTTTAAGAGTCCAGACTGAAGCTACGCAGTCATACCCCCCCCCCCCACACACACCCCGTTTCCCAAGACAGGGTTTCTCTGTATAGTTTTGGTGTCTGTCCTGGATCTCGCTCTGTAGACCAGGCCAGCCTTGAACTCACAGAGATCCGCCTGCCTCTGCCTCCTGAGAGCTGGGGTTAAAGGCGTGAGCCACCATTGCCTGGCACTACACAGTGATTTTTAATGCCAGGCTAGTGTGTTGAGAACCTCTTCTTCCCCATCGTATGGAAAATTTTAGTTTTTACATGAAACTGATTTTCTTTCATCAGATGTTTCAAATAAGCTGATAAGGAATGATGGCAAGTTCCAGAAGGCTTCAGTGATAGGACAGTTTTTAAGGTTAGCTATCTTTAGTTGTCTTGAAAATGCTAGGCTAGGGGTTGGAGAGATAGCTCCTCAGTGGTTAAGAGCACTGGCTGCTTTTCCAGAGGCCCAGAATTCAGTTCCCAGCACCTACCTACATGGCAACTAACAGGTGTCTTGACTCCAGTTCCAGAGGATCTGACACCCTCACACAGATATATATGCAGGCAAAAGACCAATGCACATGAGGACAAGTAAATCATTAAAAAGTGTTTAAAGCCGGGCGGTGGTGGCACACGCCTTTAATCCCAGCACTCGGGAGGCAGAGCCAGGCGGATCTCTGTGAGTTCGAAACCAGCCTGAGCTACCAAGCGAGTCCCAGGAAAGGTCTCGAAAAACCAAAAAAAAAAAAAAAGTGTTTAAAAATATGCTAGGTTCACACTTTACAAAAAGGTTTGCTTCTGTTCACTGATGCACCTACCAATAGGACACATTTTTTCTTTTGAAGATTTATTGTTTTATGTTTATAGGTATTTTGCTTGCATGCTGTGTATGTGTATTGCATGTGTGCAGTGCCAGAGGGGGCCAAAGAGGGTGTCAGATCCTCTGGAACTGGAGTCAAGACGGCTGTTAGCTGCCATGTAGGTAGGTCCTGGGAACTGAATTCAGGGTGTCTGGGAGAGCAGCCTGTGCTCTTAACTGCTGAGTTGTCTCCCCAGCCTCTGCACTGCCATTTTAAACACAGTCCTCCCAATCCCACTAGATTGTAGTTTTGCTGGGAGGGACAGGAGGCAATTTTAGATATTCAGCTTAAAAGAAAATTCTTCTTTAAAAAAAAAAAAAAAAAAAAAAAAAAAAAAGGGCTGGAGAGATGGCTCAGAGGTTAAGAGCACTGCTTGTTCTTCCAAAGATCCTGAGTTCAATTCCCAGCAACCACATGGTGGCTCACAACCATCTATAATGAGATCTGGTGCCCTCTTCTGGCCTGCAGGGGTGTGTGCAGACAGAATACTGTATACATAATAAATAAATCTTAAAAAAAAAAAAAAGAAAATTCTTAGACATACAATAAGGAAGTCCTCCATCAAATGCCAATACCCAAAACATCTTTATTCACATTCACTGCTAGAATATATTTTAAAAGGACACAGTGAATGGATGCTTTCCATATTGGTTTTTATAAATGTACACATATAAACACGCACACACCCCAGTATGTACTGGTTAAAGACTTAGCCAAAATAGTTACTAGAATGTTCATACAGATGAAGTTTAGACTTAAATAACTTATTTGAAATGAGGGTTCCATGCCTTAGCAACAACAATACCAACCGCTGCTAACAATGCCAACTAAGAGTACTAGATATGTATTTCACCATGGTGTACTGGGTCAAAATTCTCAAAATTCTCAGGAATTTTGGTAAGCTTAAGAAAATTACCTTTAAGCCTAGGAGATGTAGTGGAATTCTACATGACAATCATTCCTGTAATAGGGTATTCAGTCTCCCCACGACTGTTCTCTGGAGAGCTGTGTAATCCTCTTAGATGTCACTGAGGCAGCCCCCATTGTAATCCCCCAGAGCAGGGAAGCCTTGTGAAGACTCACTGAGGAAGTTTCCATAGATGATGCTCAAACACAGCAGCACTTTTATTAACAAGGACCGAGTAATCTGATCACAGGAAATAGAAGTGTGAAATAAATGATAGCCCGGATGGCGTAAACAAACACTAACCATGGGAGACACCCCAGGTGTGTCTCACAGCTGTCTGAGTAGGAAAGTGGGCGCTAGCAATAAAGACAAGAGCGACATTTACACCACAAAGTGACTGCAAACCACGGTACTTTGAAAAAGATAATGAAAGGCCATGTCCCACGACCAGAAAGGGGAGCCATCTGAGTACTAACTGGGCCAAATGCTCTTGTGAATTTCAATACCACCTGGTAGTGTTTCTTCTTAAAATAAAGAAGTCAAAGTTTATGTTCTTGATAGTGGCCATTAAGTGTTCTGGTTAAGAGGCCCAAACCCATTTGCCCTCAGAATACTGGGTCTAAGCATCAACTACTTGCAACATTGATATATTTTCTTGTGGTCTTCAGTGGAACTAAATCAGTATGGTAACATAATCTGAAAATGAAATGGCAAGGGTACAAAGAAGTCGGATGTTCACATACACATACATGTGAAAGAGTCCCAATTCCAGCAGACAGAGAATTTAGGGTTAAAATTATTTTAGACATTGAGTCTTTCTGGCCACGTATTACTAAGATCCCTTTTCATCACATGATAGCTCTAAACAAATACTTGGAATGCTCAGAAGATTCCACCTTTAGCCTCCTAAGACATAATTTAAGGTGAGACTTGAATAGGAACACATATCTTCACACTAGTTGAAACAGGAGAAACATTTTCCATTTAAACCCTGGGAAACCTTAGATAACGTGCCTTAGGCTCGGTTGTCTTCAGTCTTCTGTAAAGCTATTTGGTACAAGGAGGCCAAATCTGCTTAGGCAGTTTGAGGAGAACGTTTTCCCATCCGAAGCAGAGGAAGTCATTTCAGGACAATGGGGATGGAGGAGGAGCGCTGTGCTTCTTGCTGTGTTACCTTTCTTATGTTCCTAAGGTCACTGACAGCGGACTACAACAGCCCGCAACAAGTGCACTGCCTTCACCAGCCGCTTTTGCCGCCTTTCTTCTTCTTCTGTTGCTGTTTCTTTTTGGTTGCTGGGGCCCCCGCGGGTTTCTGGTGTCTTGGGGGTACGATGTTGCTTGTAGAGGAGGACAGCGTTGCCGCACTGCCAGGCCGTGGGGAGGTGGGGGGGCTGCTAACAGTTTTACTGGCATCCCTGAAACAAAGCAGAAAGAGTTTTAGTTCTTTAGAAATACAGGAAAAGGTATAAGCATGTATGTGCATGGATTTCACTTTCCACACTGAATAATTTCTCACACATTTTAAGGACACCTCTGTCCACTCCTTTTGAATATTTTTTAACCATATTATAACTAAAGAAAATTAATATACACTACACGCCAAATTTAGTAAGTTTAGAAAATCAACTTTAAATGACTTATAATTCTTTTTTGTAAAATTTATTTATTATGTACACAGTGTTCCACCTGCATGTATGCCTGCAGGCCAGAAGAGGGTCCCAGATCTCATTACAGATGGTTGTGAGCCACCATGTCGTTGCTGGGAATTGAACTCAGGACCTCTGGAAGAACAGCTAGTGCTCTTAACCGCTGAGCCATCTCTCCAGCCCCGACTTATAATTCTATGTAGAAATAACTCACATTTTAAATTCTTTTTCTTAGGTGTTACCTATCTACCACACAGTTAAATGATTCATTATCTTTAGTTTCAAAACCAAATGTAATTACAGGCTGTCTTGTGGTTTGTCGTACTTAGGGGTTAGACCCAGGGCCTTACACATGCTAGGCAAGGGGTCCATTACTGGGTCATTCTCACAGCTCCTAGAATACTTAGTTTTTAACAATACAATCACATAGTTGTAGTATTTGCAATAAAATCAAACAGTATATTTTCTTCCTTTCACATACCACAAATACTTACCAAGGCTGTAGGACTGTATTTCTCATACAGCATATAAACAGTCTCCCTCATAACTGAGTCAGCCTCCAAGATGAACTACATCCTGAGGGCCTTCCACTCTGCACCACAACTTACAGTTCGGAGGAGGCTCCTGCAGCCGCTCCTTGCGTTCCTTTTCCAATCTGGTCCTTCTTTTTACCCTTCTTTCTTCCTCGGTAGTAAGAACGTTCTCGCATGGGTAGCCATCTTTCTGGATCTGGGGTAACTTTTGGGTCATAATTCTTAGGCAGTTTTCCTGGAAATGATTGGCAAATGAGAAATACACCTAGAATAGTTCCAAGTTTGTTTGTTTAAACAATGTGTTCATGACTTGGAATAAATAACAACTGAAATTTGTCTGAGAAAGTCTTTTTGTCTGTCTGTTTTTTGATTTTATTATGTAGCCCAGGCTGGCCTTGTACCTGCAACTCCCCCAACCTCTAGGATTGCAGGTATGCACCATGTTTATGTGTTGAGAAAATCTGCCCTGAGACAGTGTGCCCCTATGTAGCCCTGGTTTGCCTGGAACTCTCTATGGAGACCAGGCTGGCCTTGAACTCACAAAGATCCACCTGTCTCTGCCTCCCCAGTGCTAAAACTAAAGACTTGAGCCACCATGCATAAGTAAAAATATTTTCCAGACATAACTTTACAAAATTTGTAATTTTTATCTACTAAAATAATATGTTTTGACAAATTGGAGGCCAGTTTGGGCTACTGAAACCGTGTCTACACACCGGGTAAGAGTAAGCTCCTATCCAAGTCCTAGGACAAGAAATGAAGACTGAGACTTTTGAAGATAATGGACTAATGCAAACACTAGTTTGTATAATTTCTGTAAACTCCACTAAAATAGCAATAACTACACATTTGAACTTGGAAAATATATGGCCTTTGGTAATTCATTTAACCAGGGCTTGAAAATCTATCTCAAACAGTAATACAGAAATCTGAGTGTATTTTTCCTTAAAGCCTTACCTTTCTTTTTCTTCTTCTTCTTTTTCAAATCTCCCTGTCTAAAAAGAAATTGAGAATCATTATCATCATTGTGATAAACATAGTTCATTACATATGTGCAAAAGAGCAAGCTGGGCATACTGACATAAAAAGGTGTATGTAAGACTTGGTACCAGCTCACAAACGTAACAAAGTAGCTGGACTATTAATTCAAGTTCAATCACACGGCAAACTTTTCACTTAAGAAAAAAAAAATCAGTTATCATTCTGTGTGTATGTCTGTGTGAATGGTGTGTTTTTGGGTTCTCATGCTTAAGCACACGTTTAGAGGTAAGAAGAACTGTGGAGTTGGCTCTCTCCTTCTACCTTTATATGGCTTCTAGAGGGAAACTCAGATTATTAGGCTTGCAAGGCAAATGCCCTGGATCTGCTGAGCCACCTCACTGGCCCCCCTTTTGGAGATAGGATCTTGCTACATAGTATGAACTGGTCTCAAACTCCAAGTCTTGCCTCAAAAACTTCTGGTGTGGGACCTCCTGAATGCACCTCCAGGTCTGGCTGAATACAATCTTAAAATGATACACATTAGGCTTAATGTAAAATTCTTTACAACAGAAATATTATCTACTCTTTGAAAAGAGCTACCATGCCTAAATTACCCAATTATCCCTTAAATAGTATGAGCAGTATACAAAGTACCTCAAAGTACCAGAAGTCAAATAGTAAGCTATTTATACAAACGAAAATCTATCATGCCTTCATGAGTTAACTGGCAAGATTTTAGAGAATCAAGAAACACTTTGCCAGAGAACATGTACTGGTAATCTTTTAGGAGGATATGGAAATCAAGTTACTCTGGTCATGGCACTAGAAGGGAGAAAGATGGATGGGACACTTTTTACTGATTCTGCACTTTCTATTTTTCAAGATTTATTATGTATACAGTGTTCTGTCTGCATGCATGCCTGCATACCATAAGAGCGCACCAGGTCTCATTAAGGATGGTTGTGAGCCACCATGTGGTGGCTGGGAACTGAATCCAGGGGTAGAGGTGGTTGTCTGTGCAGGCACAGACTAGGTACCTGCCTGCCCCTGCCTCCCCCCTGCTCCCCGCTGGGCGTGGCCAAGGGGGAACCCCTTAAGGCCTGGAATGCATATGTGCTTGTTCTCTTGGCTACCTCGTGGTCTTGGATGCTGGTACTGTGAACCAAGGCAGAGTTTTTCAGAGAACCCCTTTGGACCGCACCACACCGTGCCCCTCCTGGATCCTGTGACTACTTATACATATTGTGAGTTAACCCAGAATAAATCCCTTTTGACTATCAGACTCCTTGGAATTGCCACTTTATCTGCTGCTTTACCAGGGCCTCTGAACCTCTGAGCCATTTCTCTAGGCCCTCTATTCTTTACTTTTTAAAGACAGGGTCATACTATGTAGCCCCAACTGACCTGGAATTTACTATTATAGATCAGGCTGGCCTTGACTCACAGAGATCGTTGCCTCTGCCTCCTGAGTGGTAGAATTATAGGCATATCTGGCCTGTGTTTTTGTTTTCCCTTAAAAACACATCTCATCTAGCCAAGGCTGGCCTTCAATTGATCCCCCTGCCTCTGTCTTCCTAGTATTCGTAGGACAGGCATGTGTCAGCACACTTGGCTCACTATGTAGAGAAGGCTGGCCTTGCATTTGGGAGGCACCTGCCTCATCCTCTAAGTGTTGGATTACAGGCTGCTGAAACCATGCCCAACTACTAAGTATCTTTTTCCTTTAAAAACAAGTTCATGTTGATGGTGCTAGGGCTCAAACTCAAGGCCTCCTGAAAGCCAGCCAAGTGCTCTAAACTATATCCCCTAGCTTCATTTTTCAAATTTTGAACTTCACAAATTTGTTAAATTTTGAAATAGGCAAAGTAGTTTAGTAAGTATACTGGCAAAAAAGAAAAAGCAGGTACTGGAAGGGACTAAGAAATCACGAAAATATTTCAAAGTAATTATTAAGTACTCTGGAAGTTGCTGTCAGAAGACCAGACATCTCTCTGTATGTATTATGAGTGATACAGCTGAGAGCTATGCATCGGTGAACTAAGGCAAAGCTCACTCCACGAGAACGAAGAACGAGCACTACATGGTGCCGCCCTTCTTCTCTCCTGCAAACTGCCGCTCTCCCACCACCGCTCTCAGAGCTTGCCAGCAGCTGCACTTCAGCAGCCACAGGTAAACCTCTACTCCAATTCCTGTTGGAAGCCATTTCCACCGCTTAATCTTTTCGGTCAGTGTCTAGTGTAAACCTAGTACAGCTTCCTTCAAAATAAATTAGACTTTGGCTATTCAATAGTATAAAGAGCATTAATCAAGTCTAGTGAGATTACTGTACTGATGATGATTTGAAGCTCAAAAGTCAGCGTAAGACCAGCAAGATAGCTCGGTGGGTTCCAGTGCTCGCCGCCAAGCCTGATGACCCGTGTACACAGAAAGCTAGACCGCGTCCACCCGCCCACACACGAGCACAGCAGCACAAATGCGCCTCCCACCACGAAATAAATAACGTAAAAGAAAACGGAGCCGGGCACGGTGGCTCACGCCTTTACTCCTAGCACACAGAAGGCGGAGGAAGGAAGATCTCTGGGCCCAAGGCCAGCCTGCTCTACACAGTAAGTTCTAGGCTATCCAGGGCAACATACATTATCTTTTTAAAAAAGCTTTTAAAAGAAGGTTTTTAAAAAATGCTACAGTGTTTCAGATTCTATCACTTTAACTGATAAAATTTGAAGCTTTTGGAAACACCAAGATAAAATTAATCTAAAAAAAAAAAAAAAAAAAAAAAAGGGAAATGAGACCTTGTCTCAAACAACCAACCACACGAAAACCAATCAACCACCCAACCAACCAAAGAAGCCAGTGTCTAGGTGGAAGTGGCAATAGTATGAGGAGGTGGAGGAAGGACCAGGAGTTGATGTCATCCTCTGGAGGAGGAGGACCAGGAGTTGACGTCATCCTCTGCTACACAACAGAGTCTGAAGCTAGTCTGGGCAACACCATATCCTGTTTCACAAAAGGCAAGTGGCTCAAGAGTTAAGGTACCTGCTGTGTGACCATGAAGACCAGAGGACTGGTGTTCAGATCACAGCACCCACATAGTAAGCTGGGTATCTGGTGGGAGATTGACAGATAACACTGGACGACATCTTCTGGCCTATCCATGTGTGTACATATGTGCAAAAACATACAATCATACACGAAATCTTTAAAACTTAGCCTAAATTTATTTTATTTTGGTATCCACAAAAGCTTGAAATCTGAATCAGTTGAAGCCATGAAATCTGAAACATTGTAGTATTTAAAGTTTCTTAAAAAAAAAATTTTTTTTTTAAAAGATGAAAATAGGGGATGTCAAGATGGCTCATCAGTTAAGAGCTCTGGCTGCTCTTCCAGAGACCCAGGTTCAATTCCTAGCACCCACATGGCAGCTCACAACTGTCTATAGCTCCAGCTCCAAGGGATCTAACACCCCCACACAAACATACATGCAGACAAAAGACCAAAGAACATATGGGGGGAAAAAAGATGAAAAATTATAAAAGAAATGTTGGTATTTTCCATGCTCTTTTCATTCAGAACCAAAACAAAAATCTTTTTTTTTTTTTT